AGTGATTACTGAAGATAGCACAGACAAAGTCGTCTTCATTCAACACACCATGAGGCATATGAGGACTCCCGGTGATAAGGCGTTGCCATTTATCATGCGGGTGGGTCTAAAAATAGGGATGACCTTCAGTCAGGACTACGTAGTGATATTGAGACCCACACGCAATCAAATTGATACCGGAAAACGTTCTCGAACATGAGCAATTTTGTCTGGTAGAGATTGTTGAAGCCCACCAATATAGCCAGCGCAGATGTGTTGAAATTGCTACACGCATCAATTTAAGCTCATCGGAATTGGGGATTCATCTTGATTGCTGATGACCAGCCTCATCAGCAAGTGCCATGCACTTCCAAGTTCGACGCTTTATTCGCTCGCCTCCATGAAGCTGGATATGGAGCAGTGGATCCCCACATGTGAGATTTTGCAAACGTAATGATAAGAAGGACTAAGGACCGCCTCCTCCATCATTGGGTTTCATGATATGATCACTTTGTGATGGCATCTGAACCAGAAGGCAAGCAGTAGGACAGATGTAGGATACCTTTCACCTGTAGTGTCTGGTGGGACTCGGATAAGGTCACGAGGTTAACTGGTTTCCGAGCTGTCCTATGCCGAGAAGTTGTTATGGTTACAACGCCATCTAGGCCATATACGTAGCCCTTGGTACTCTTGTGAATTATACGTATAATGTTTTCTGAATTTATAATGTCATGTTGATATTTCAACGCCAGTCAACAGTGACTCGTTTATAGGCCACCAAACGTGAAATTGGATTGCTATATGGAAATTCATGAACTTGTGGCTTTTTTCTGCAGCTGCAAATTTGCCAGCATCCACGAGTAAATTAAGAAGGCACGGTCGTCCGCCGGCGCACGCTGGGTGAGGGGACCATTCCGGTAATCCAGTCCGACTGGAGGATGAGTAGCCCCGAAAAGCTATTCAGTGAGAGCTTTAGGCTATGATCTCAGGCCGAGATTTCTGCTCGGAAAATGGAGCACGCTCCCGTCAAGTCAACTCAACATCGGGTGGTACTAAAATTATGATACTTCTCAGTTCATTTTCCAGCGATGGTTTTGCTGCGCAAGGGGCGATGATCTCAAACAGTGGGGCTAAAAGTGTGGAAGCAAACAGAAACACCAAGGAATGGTGTACGGGGAATGATGGGGCTCACGTTCCCAAGTTATTGGGCGAGAAGGTCGTGCAAAGTATACTATTCTGGTGCCACCGGAAGACACCCATTCTTGGCAGTTTGGACTAGAGCTATTCTGGAAAGGTTGCTTTGGGTATGCTGAAATATTGGCCAATAGTGATGTCCAGACTGGGAGCAATGCCCTGTGTGATGGGGGTATTTATGACTAAGCGGAAGCGCCGATCATCTTGGCAACCACCCTAGTCTACTTAGATCGGGTTAAAGTGTGGAACAGCCGTTATCGGCTCTTCAGACTTACATGAAGCCAAACACGGATTGATGGGCGTGTACGTATGCATTCCACCTGCTGTATGCCACCTTAATGGCTGTTTAACTAATTAGATTCCGTATCTGGATTATTGAGTCACTATATTCACGGATATTACAAGCATGTAGGATGTCGTCAACAGAATAACACCCTTTGTGGGTAGTTATCTAAATGGGTCCTTCTCTGAAGCTAGAACCAAGGCTGTGATCAGCACAGTTACGTATCAATGTCATGTTCTTCACCGCAGGGCTGAACAGGGTCGATAAGGATTTATCTGCCACCCGCGGCCTGGACCAATTTTCTTAACCACGGTATTTGCGGATTCCCTGCGGAGTTCGCTGAAGGGGTTAGCAGACCCCGACCATTGGGGGTGTGTGGTATGACGAATCTGTCGACTAATCTAAAACGCTCAAACTGGCTCTCGCTAGGCTCGAAAATAGACAGGGGGTCTTCGACCTGCCGCCTTAACATGATACTGAGCTGACGAAGCCTCGACTTGGCACTAACCAGCCATGCCCTATTTGGCTTGGCGCACGAGTTCGCGCAGGAACCGAAAGCTTAGCCTTTGTGAACTGCTTGCTTGGGAGCAGAAGTAGATCACTCTGCCTGGAGTGTAGACTTTATAGCTTGTATATGTGTCGAATTTTGTTCATCTCTCAGTGAATGTTCAGTCAGGCAAATGCGAGTGCCGAAAAGGGTCCTAGAAGCCGAGACCCTGGTTGGACCTCCTGTGGCCTGCCAAGGCGCCCGACTGCTCGAGCGGAGATTTACTGACTCCACCCGGATAAGGTTATTACCGCCCTAACATCGGGACCCTCTTGGCGAAGGCCCTGATTAGATGCAGATTAGATGCATCCCATGCCATTGTCGCTGCTACTCCCTGTTACTCGAGTCGGGGTTTCAGGTCCCGTTTGACCGAGTTTGGGAAGCATACAAGCAGCAATGACCGACAAACAGGTTATCACTCACACTTCGCTGCGCTACAAGATGAGAAAGTCTTCATTTGATCACAACCCCTTCAGGATCTTTCCGTCACACTGCGCCCATGACATGCGAAAGCCAGCTGTCACAGTGATCTACTGATGTCACTGAACCCCATAATCTGGATAATACTGTTCCGGGCCGCGCAATCGGGTGACGAGTGTTAGAATCTGAGTTAATTTCTGCTGCAGAATGTCAAGCCTGGTGGGCCCGGCCGATGAATAGCCTTCTCACTCCACTCGAACCACAGGAGACGGCTATCACGGTATGACCCCAATATTGGGTAGCTGATCGTACTATATAAGACATACACCCGCCACCCCAAACAAACTTCTTCAACAGACGCTTCAGTCAGTCTTTACAGTCTGCACCTTCGCTCATTCAATACACCTCCACACTCTTTAGTGACCCTCAACATGCGCAAGTCCACTCGCGCAGTTGTCGCTGCTCTGGCAGCAGCCACTGCTCAGGCTAGTTCCCTGTCCGATCTCTGCACTGTTTCCAATGTTCAGTCCGCCCTTCCTTCCAACGGCACCCTCTTGGGAATCAACTTGATCCCCTCCGCCGTCACTGCCAACACCGTCACCGATGCCAGCTCTGGTATGGGTAGCTCCGGCTCCTACGACTACTGCAATGTCACTGTTACCTACACCCACACCGGGAAGGGTGACAAGGTTGTCGTGAAGTACGCCCTGCCCGCTCCTTCCGACTTCAAGAACCGTTTCTACGTTGCCGGTGGTGGTGGTTTCTCCCTGTCCAGCGATGCTACTGGCGGTCTCGAGTACGGTGCTGCCTCCGGTGCCACCGACGCCGGCTACGACGCCTTCTCCTACAGCTACGATGAAGTCGTCCTCTACGGCAACGGCTCGATCAACTGGGACGCTACTTACATGTTTTCCTACCAGGCTCTTGGTGAAATGACCAAGATTGCCAAGCCCCTGACCCGTGGTTTCTACGGTCTCTCCAGCGACAAGAAGATCTACACCTACTACGAGGGCTGTTCCGATGGTGGCCGTGAGGGTATGAGTCAGGTCCAGCGCTGGGGAGATGAATATGACGGTGTCATTGCCGGTGCCCCTGCCTTCCGCTTTGCTCAGCAGCAGGTCCACCACGTCTTCCCTGCCACTATTGAGCACACCATGGACTACTACCCTCCCCCTTGCGAACTTGACAAGATCGTCAACGCTACCATCGAAGCCTGTGACCCTCTCGACGGCCGTACCGATGGCGTTGTCTCCCGTACTGACCTTTGCATGCTGAACTTCAACCTCACCTCCATCATTGGCGAGTCCTACTACTGCGCTGAACAGAACTACACTTCCCTGGGCTTTGGCTTCAGCAAGCGTGCTGAAGGCAGCACTACTAGCTACCAGCCCGCCCAGAACGGCAGCGTCACCGCTGAGGGTGTTGCTCTCGCCCAGGCCATCTACGACGGTCTTCATGACTCTAACGGCAAGCGTGCCTACCTCTCGTGGCAGATCGCCGCTGAGCTGTCCGATGGTGACACCGAGTACGACTCCACCACTGACTCCTGGACTCTGAGCATCCCCTCTACCGGTGGCGAGTACGTGACCAAGTTCGTGCAGCTCCTCAACATCGATAACCTGGAGAACCTCGACAACGTCACCTACGACACCCTGGTCGACTGGATGAACATCGGTATGATTCGCTACATTGACAGTCTCCAGACCACCGTCATCGACCTCACCACCTTCAAGGAGTCCGGTGGTAAGATGATCCACTACCACGGTGAATCCGACCCCAGTATCCCCACCGCCTCGTCCGTCCACTACTGGCAGGCTGTCCGTCAGGCCATGTATCCCAACACCACCTACACCCAGTCCCTGCAGGATATGTCCAACTGGTACCAGCTTTACCTCGTCCCCGGCGCTGCTCACTGCGGTACCAACTCCCTCCAGCCTGGTCCTTACCCTGAGGACAACATGGAGATCATGATCGACTGGGTTGAGAACGGCAACAAGCCTTCCCGCCTCAACGCTACCGTCTCCTCCGGCACCTATGCTGGTGAGACCCAGATGCTTTGCCAGTGGCCTTCTCGTCCTCTCTGGAACAGCAACTCCAGCTTCTCTTGTGTTCACGACTCCAAGTCCCTTGCTACTTGGGACTACACTTTTGACGCTTTCAAGATGCCCGTTTTCTAAATGGGTTGAATAAGTAATGATGGATTTTGGAAGGTCCTTTGATAGGATCTCTATCCGCCTGTATGTAGTATCTTCGCTTCGATAGTCGTTGTACTTCTTCCATCTTTGTGTCTTCTTCAATCTGTATACGTGTGAAGAGACATTTACTAGCTTACTTGGTCAACAATATTATTTGACTGTATATAACACTTATTACTATCCGAAACTGAACATTTCTTCTTGAATCTGTGCACGAGCAATTTCAGAATATGTCTCTTGGTTGTGAGAACAGAGACAGAATTTGCTGACAAGCTAATCAATCCCGAAATCCATCCGTGATAAGCAAAAACAAAGTAATTACCGCCCCCATTCCCACTTCCACACCAACAAATTACAACAATCCGAACAAAATCATTCTCGTTTAGCCTTCACAATCCTTCATCTTGTTCTTCATGGCCCGTCTCTCCCGTATTTCAGACCACATCTGGGATAATCGGACGTTCTAATATCGCATTAGCACATATCAGGTCTTGTACTGAAGCAGAGAGGAAGAGAAAAAAAAAAAAATGGGAACCTGGGACAGTAAGAAAGGGGAAGGAGGAGTGGGTGTGGGTAGAGAATCTTCTGGGCAACTGCAAACTGGAACTAACCTTATCTGAAACCTTCCACAAGGCATAAGTCAAAAGAAGGGATGCAGCGCCGAAAACGATGTACCAGCGCCAGTCAGGGTTGCTTTGCAACGCGTTGACGTTCATGCCAAAAAGGGTCTGTTGCTTTTAGCCAGGGCAGCTAAAAGGAGAAAAGGAAAAATCGAAGAAAGGCCATTTGACACTACTACTTACCGATGCAAACATCAATGGTAGGAAGATAAACTGCCTTGGTCAGCCATGTAAATAGATATAACCAATGTACCCTCTCACAGTAATTAGACTGATGCGTCTCATGAAAACCGTTTCTTCAACGGAAAGCCTAGCGAATTCCTGATATCGTAAGAGCGATTCGACGAGGTTAATACCGTGGGTATCTTACCATCTGGCGAAGATCACGCACCCGCTCGTGTTGCTTGTCCAGTCGATCAGTGATAGTCGCCTTCAGTTGCCTCAGTTCCTCTGCTGACCTATACAAATAAGGAATGTGGTGTGCATGCAACCTGCCATATCCATCGATTACCTTCCGTATTCCCTTTATCTGATCTTGAAGGGCCTTCTGAATAGTAGCCAAGTAACGTGAATCATCAGCTAGGTCATTAACCAAAACAGTGGCACTCGTCTCGTCACCATTGCACTAGTGGTCAGAGCTGTCAGCGTAGGACGCGAGATCCGGGATAGGGGGTCGCGGTACATGATCAGTCACATGCGTCTCAAATCCATCGCATATTAGAGACCATTCCTGGAATAAATCGCTTATGTATTGCTGAAGGAATTTGTCGTCGGTTGCAGGCATCTGGCCGTGAGAGAGAGTACTGCTGTAGAATACTGGTACGTCGCGATTGGTTACTGGAAATCGTGGCCCATTCCACGATATACACCAGCATTTATGACTTGTTATACCCTGTGACTGGAATGGGCTGTGTCTCTTGAAGAACCCTGCATCCGGGTTGGGAAATTCTGATGATAGAACACAAGTTATTTCGGACAAATTAGTGTTCAGATGCACGCGGCTGTATGCGTAGGATTCTGTATTATGGTAGAGGCCGTGCTGCAATGAGGCTATCCAATTATGTTTGCTATTGTGTAGCCTGCCAATGCTTCTTGTTAGCATCTAAAGAAGGTACTCATCAAACGGCAGTATTTACCAAAGATGCTGAAGCATATCACATCGCTCGACAAGACGGCCTTGTGGAGTTACATCCTCTGCTTGGTAGGAGTCGAAGATAAGGATATTGTTCTTCTTTCGTACCAGCTCTAATGAAACATCCCGATACGTTTCCTCCAATTTGCAGAAAGATCCCTTATTTTTACTGTCCGATAATAGATTTAACCAGTCCGCTTTGTGTTCGAAGCAATCCACTCTGGCACGCCATCGAAGGAAAAGCTTCACTATCGATAACAGTCCTTTCTCTTTTGCCAAGGCCAAAGGAGTTAAGCCACGTCTGTTGTTTTGATCTAGGAATTTCGAACTCAACTTTGTTGGAGCTTCAACAGTGTCCGTGGTTAGTTCGGGTACTTGGGCGACTATGATTTGTTGGAGGTAATGCTCCATAACGCCAATATTAGGGATGTCAAGCATTATGTGAAAAGCCGTCTCTTCGCTTGAGCCGTGCCGTCTAAGCAATGGATAGCCGTTGGTAATCAGCCATTCCAGAGGTTCAGATCGAGTGTGAGCATTCCTCGCAAGTAGCCTCAGAGTAACATCATCATCGCTCCACAATATTTCAGCAATCTCGCGGTGTCTAGCCTCTATGGCCCGCCAAAGCGGCGTTTTTCCATCCCTGTCTGCCACGCTGATGTTGATGTCCTTGATGGTAAGAAGTATCCTGACGATTAGATTCCTCTCGAGTTGCACAGCACGCGCTAGCAGGGTGAGGCCAAAGGCGTCATGCTCAGACAATATGGATGCGCTCATATAGTTGGATGGCACTCGCGTCCACGTCCGGATACCTGAGAGTGAGTTCTGCCGAGAAAGGTGTTCTGCCTCCAGTAAATGGCCACTTACCTCCAGGGAATGGCTTCTGTCCCAAATGAGTGGAAGAATGCGGAGATCATAATCTTTAGTTGAGTGAGGCTCGCTTTGTAAAGAACATTGGAGAAAGTAATGGCAAGGTGTCCAGCCTTGGTTATCTTTGTCATCAGAGAAACCGACATCCCAACTTAGTAACTCAATCAATTCTTTGTGGCCGAATTGTGCTGCCCAGGATAAGGCCGATCGTCCATTTTTGTCACGCCGGTAGGGGTCCGCTCCAGCTTTTATCAATTTGTTCACAGCCCACGCATTTCCAAGCTCAGCTGCATGAGACATTGGGGTACGACCGTCTTCATCTTGCTCATTCAGATCATCCAGTTTGAGGCCCTTCAGTAGCGAGTTCCATTTCTCCCGTTCCTGCCAATGTTCCGTTGGCAATAACTGCGCTGCGTAATGGAGCGGTGTCATACCAAACTCATCTTTTGTGTGTGAATAGGTCTCGCTATCTCGCTCGAACCGATCGCCGAGAGTGCAGTGGAATTTTTCTAGGGCCCTTGATGAGTTTTCTTTCCTCTTTTTCTCTGCATTGTTATGAACAGGAATAGGGACACACCTATGGCTGCTTCAGAGACCTCCTTTTCCTTTTGTAGCTTCTCCCCGATATTTTCCATTTTTGAAGCCTCCATCCAGTACCAACGATGATGGATAAACGGTGCTAACACTGGCCTCGAAAGGGTTTAAATTATTGGTGGGATGTTACACCATAGCCTAGGTTGCAAGGCTGCGTGGCTTAGATACCAGCATCCGTGCATCGCCTCACGCTCAAGTTGATATCACTCCTTCCGGGGCCCCTGTAACTGTAGATAGCGACAGAATATTTTTAATGAAATGTGTAAACACAGAGAACCAATGTTTTTCGATAGTAAGCGGCTTTGAGTAATCATTAATATTGTTCTCGCGATCGTACGCGCTGTCAACTCTCCCAGGTCTGGGCCTTCTTGGCATTTACACGAAGAGGCAGAAAAGTGGCTATGCTCGCTCGCCAGAAACGGCAAGGTGCAGCAACCCCGCGCGGCGTGGCCATCCTGTTTAGTCATTTTTGTGGTATTAATGAACCAAAGTTAGACATGGATTGTAGGTGCTTAGAACTATTCAAATTTCGGTTTATGTTTCACGGCTGCTTATGATTGAGGATATTCAGGATATCTAGGATATCTCTGAGTGACAGGCCCCTACGGCGTGCATAGGAGCAGGTAGTCGTAAGTTTCCCAGGCTTAGCGTGCAATTACGTTTTAGAGTCTTTGCTCTGCTCGGGTCAAGGAATAAGTCAACAGTATATAAAGAATAATAATAGGCATTCAATGCTATCGGATAATATTAATACAAAGACGAAGGTAAAAACCACTGCACTATCTTAGGTATTCCCATATCCAGATGGGTTCTGACGTAATATGCAGTGCGTTCAGGAAGAGAAAGAGTACTCAGGAATATTAATGGTGGTAACAGTCCAGGTCTTGCCACCATCGCTGGTGGACATGTCGCCAGTGACACCGCTACCCTTGGCGAGGGTGTTGATGTAGTTAGGGTCAGCAACATCGAGGATAATCTTGGTGTTGGTCCAAGCTAATGTGCGATTTTATTAGCAACGCAAAGATACTTCGGCAATGTCATTTTTCAACTTACAGTGAGCACCGACAGTGCCGCAGTTGTCCTCGGCACACTCGACAGCGCTACCCCAGCCCTGAGCCTTGCCATCGCTGGTGGAGAGAGTAGAGACGGTCTTGCCATTGATCGAAACGGTCTGGGTGTAGTTTCCGGTCGAGTCATCGAACTTGTCTATAAATCGCGAGTTTTAGCTATGAGCCAGGAACGACGGCTTGTGAATGTTACTTACAGTGCATGGTGACCTTGTCGCCCTTAGTTCCGTCAGCCTGGCCATCACCGTAGATGGGCTCCTGGGAGGTAGCTGTGGAGGGGAGCGGGTAAGTAATTGTTTCGTTGTTGGATTCTGTGGTCACTAACCGCTAGTCTCCTTAAGAGTGTAGGCGTACATGGTCCAGTCGCTCTGCTGCCAGTTGTCGGCAATGGACTGGATCAGGTCACCGTTAGAGGTGCCCATACCAACCCACAGGGAGGTAATGGCATCGGAGGAGCCGCCGCTAGGGCCGTTAGGGAGGACAAGAGTCGAGGTAGCTTCACGGATGAAGGAGTCGTCAGAGACGGGACCAGTGCTGAAAGCAGGACCCATGGCGGCATTCACGCCGGTGGCGCCAAGTGCAGCAAGAGCTGCGAGAACCTGGGTGCGGGTGTACATTTTGATGGAGTTATGTGTGATAGATGCGAGTAAACACGGGAGCTCATGTGTTGTTGTTGTTGTTCTGGTAAAAGGACCGCGAGGACAAGGTACCTTCTTATATGTTCTGAATAATAATGAAGTAGCTTTCAAATTTCCTTCCCTATAAACCCCCTTCCTCCTCAGTAACTATTGGCGTTTATTGTCTGATGTTTCGGGGTAATATCCACCAGCGGGGTTTCGGTCCCCGGGAGTAGTACCCTAGTTGAGGGGGTTTTGGCTCTTGCGCCTTTCATTACACGAATGGGGTGTGCACACACAAATATGCTGCCCCCATATTGTTCAGAAGCCAAGAAAAGAGTCAATCTATATGGATCCCTCTGACAAGGCTACTGCCGCAGACTCCTACCTCGACTTCCCGTCTTGACCCACTTGGTGGGTAGTCAATTCCGAATTCCGACACCATCAGGGAAAGCTCTCTTCCAAAGTCAGTCGCACTTTACGAACAGTTAAAAGCAGAAGTAAAAATTCCCTGGCTTTGGACTGCTTCATAACTGGTCTTGAGGGTAACCGTTTCCTTTCCGGTATCCAGCGCACGAAGGTATTAAATATCCGAGGTCCACATGCTCGCTGTTTTTTGGTAGGAAAAGTCGCCATAACCTTTCCATGATGACCCGGTAGGTTAAATTTAGTCATAAGCTTGCTATAGCGGTTACTCAAACTTAATAACCGCCATCAACAACCTTGAGCCAAACGGCTATTCTGGTTTGTTACAGGCAAGTGCAATATGAACTCTCCCTGATGCCCATATGGCCGTTCTCCACTTATGGGCCCTGCTCTTGGCGCCCTCTGTAAACCCTGGAACAGCCCCTATGCAGGGGTCCTCCGTTTTCGGCGTCAACAGAGTAACAGACAGACCTGCAGTTGTTTCAACATTTTTAGGGTGGTTAATCTTCCGCCAATAGGAGACTACAGCGCCTTCTTCATTACTCCATCCATAAAGGTATGAGCTCCGTGTTTCATCTAGGATCCTTAGTCATACCTAACAACCACCACCCACGAGGGCGCCGTAGGAGAACTGGGTGCGAGTCATGGGAACTTTGATATCCATTTCGAGTAAGGTTTACGGGATAGTAATATAACGATTAAGATTAACTTCAGTTGACGGGTGTGATCCGAAAACTAGGCTTCTATGCCATTGATGACCCACCCGGACCTACACATTGATTTAACCTAGATGTCCTAATGTGGGGGGAAGCTTTAGCCATATCGTCCCTTTCTGACGTGATTGTAGTAAGTAGAAATATAAGGAACGGTTGCGACACCTTCACGGTATTCAAAGTAACGAAGTCAAAAATTAATATTGTGACAGTCAATATATATTTCATCAGCACCGACGGTTTCTGTCGTGTAGATGGCTGATTTTTTGATCTAAATTTTGATCTAAATCGTCTATAATCAAGTTCCTCAGGTCAAGATGATCACTACAGAGTCGTTTGCGCTGAGCGGATAAAAGCTTCACCGACTCGAACCATATAAGTTATTATACGTTCAGGCAGCAGGATTTTGTTGGAAAACATGGTCAACTGGGATGATTCTATTCGTCGTATGGCTGTGGAGCCATGGGGCTGGTCATTCAGCATGGCATGGCAAGATGCATTAGAGAATACCCCTAAAATCAAGGGGTTATCATGGGATATATAGAAACTACTCTACATTGCATTTAGAACACTTTGGAGACTTGGAACCTGTTCTGGGATGATACGCCTGTATTGTATTTTGCTTCGACGCAACCCAGTTGGGGAGAGAATGGACCCGTGCTCCATGGATCCATTCGAGACACATCAATTGCCAAGTTATGAAGAAGGCCATAGCCTTACCACAATGCAGATTGCGATGATTTATTACTCGAATTATACAATTCTCTAGACTACTATGTCTCCCAGAAACGAAATTGTGTTGCTTCTTCCCTTGCCTGGACGACGGACAATATGCAGTGCACATTTCTTTTTCGCGGCAGCAGCATTACTGCCATTATCAACCTATCCTAGCATCAGTTAAAATATCTACTATGTCGTACCTCCTGGGATTCTAATGGTTGCATATGCCAGCTTGCTGGGTCCGCAATCATCATCGGGTTATGCAAGCGCCCATGACGACTACGCCGTTTCAATATATTGGCATATACCATATATTATGCGATGTCGAAGAAAAACGTATTCACATAAAAGATGTCGAACGTCTAGAACGCAAACCTACCAGTTCTTAATAACGGAGGCTGATGCCATTCTACGTCCGCAATTATCGAGTTGAAATCTGACCCATGTCAATAAGTCCTAGTATCGGTAAGACGGTGCTTAATGATTGAGGCTTTCACCATAGATACAGTCAGTTAACTGTCAGAATATCCTCTTCAGTGATAATGGTGATGCCCCTGAATGTATGGACATAGTTATTATATATATCTGCTGACATGGCATGTCGGGAGCACGCAGTATCATGTTTGTACGAGCTACGAACAATAATTATGCTGCAGCTGCTCAAGCTAGGAGATAGGATAGTCGGTCTGCGGGGGGACATGGAGCTGTCATAGTACATCTCGAGATCGATCTCCTTGGACCGTAAGCCACGATAAATTTGGAGACCTATCATATGAGATTCTCTTGGCAATTATGTCGGTCTGGCCAAATAGAGAAATAGAGATATGATACCCTTCCCTGCTGTGCATAATTTTATCTCTATTATCTTATTATTGATGCAACCTGAGATGTGTGACCCATATATAGAAGCCTAACCGGTGAACACAACATTCTTTGATGCCTTTATGTGCGACCAAAATATCTAGAGCCTCGTAATCCGGAACTTTTGGTTTGTAAGTCCTAAATATAGACGCAATCAACCAATCAGCTCGCATGGCTTAGTTGGTAAAGCGCATGACTAGTAATCATGAGATCCTCGGTTCGAATCCGAGTGCGAGCATTTTTGCATTTTTTTTAACGCTGTCACGACAGGGGACTTTTTGGGTTAGTGACTTCTCAAGGTCCGACTGTTAACAGTGTCTTCATATGAACAGCATTACGTTCCCTAAATAACCCGTACTCAGAGAGTAATATTGCGAAGGCGGTATACTCATCAGCTCGTAGGGTCTGCTCAGCAAGCCCTCCTATGCAAGGGATACATCGACATCATTAACTGGCCAGCTGCACAAGACAACTCAGGTATCGAAATAATTCATGAAGTTTCCAAAATATATCATGTTGATCTTCAGTATGAACGTTCACTCTATAGGATGATGGGACACCTCTATGGCACGCATTCTTCTTATAACAAAAACATGCGCATCACTCGTCCAAAGGAAAAGCACAATTTAAGGCACAGCCAGGTTGTCAAAGATGGTGAAAGAACGAGTGATGATAATATCAAATAGATATACCCTGCGAGATACCTAATTAGCGCTCCGGTGGAAAATGCGATAAATATCGCTAACATCGTGCAGGTAGGTGGACAAGCAGCGGTGGGATACAACTTAAGAGAGATGAACCGGATTCGGCTCTAAGTGATCTGTCACATATAGTATCCTCCCAATGGACATGCTTGCGACCGTGGACTGGGAAGCCTTCGACTATAGCCTCTTAGCCGAGAGATGAACATTTTAGCACACAAAGTAGTCAATGCCATAGGTACAGAGTCCTGTTATCATAATTTTGCTGGGAATGACTAGTAAGGTTGCCTCTATTACTGTTATGGGATATAGTTTATTACGGCAAGTTAGCACATCAGGACTAAGAACGTCATTTAACTTGCCATGTAAGTAGCTCGTAAGGGGAGTCTCAAACAATAGCATCAAGTGTACGAACGAAAACCTTTGACCCAGTATCGATGTATCCTGTGCAGCTTATCACCAGACCATAGAGAATTTGAGATATCTCGAGCCGTGTCCAGGTTCCAGCGTGCCAATACATATGACATGATCAGTTGTGCGTGAGAAGCAATAAGATCTGCGCAAATCAATGGAGTATTCTCCCGAGATCATATGTAAAGCATATGCTCTATACAAACCTATAATTTCAGGGTCGTCTGCAAGTATCAAGTATGCCACAGCTACCAATCAGGGTTGCGCTGTCGCATGGCCATGTCGAAAAATTGAATATTAGACCCACAACAGATTGTCAGTGGCATGGAGGCAATGCATGCTTTCCCTCCTTGAATCTCACAAGGATGCAGACCAAAGTCACACAGCATCTATAATCTGAAGGCATGCACCAATAATGTGTGAGGTATTTGTTGACCGTGGTCCTCAGTTCCCCGGTGGCTGGTATATAAACCCTCTTGAGATCAGTATGCTACCATACAGCAAAAGGCACAAACAAGACACCAGAACCCGAGCTAGCACAATGAAAGCCAGTATACTTTCCGTTATCTCTTCGTTTACCCTGGCTTTGGCGACAGATTCAACCAAGCTGCTTCCATGGTCCCCCCCGGGTCACGGCGATGGTATGTCTGGCTTTCCCAGTTAGTGACGAAAGCTAAAAAGAAACAGTGAGAGGTCCTTGTCCAATGCTGAATACCCTTGCAAACCACGGGCTTCTACCACACAATGGCAAAAATCTTTCTGAAGAAGTCGTTGTCGGCGTACTGAACAACACGCTGAATATTGCAGACAGCCTTGGCGAGTTTCTGTTTAAGGCGGCACTGACAACAGTCGAAACCCCCAACGCAACTACCTTTTCCCTGAGCGACCTCGATCGCCATAATATCCTGGAGCATGATGCTAGTTTGAGGTATTTCAAACCCCAGAGAAAGCAAAAACCACGCTGACTTGCTCAGTCGACAGGACACCTACTTCGGGAATAACCATGCGTTCAACCGAAAGATATTCGACCAGACAAAGTCGTATTGGACAACGCCTCTGATCGATGTTGAACAAGCAGCCAAGGCACGCGAAGCACGAGTTGATACTTCCAAGGCCACAAACCCTGACTTCAGTCTCACGGAAACCGGGCTATCGTTCAGCTTCGGAGAGTCTGCCGCCTACATGCTCGCATTTGAAGAAGATGGTATCGGATACGCCAACAGAACCTGGGTCGAATACTTCTTCGGTGGGTGGACTCACTTAAATACGACTTGGTGGCACCACTGACACATTTATCATCCAGAAAATGAGCGTTTGCCTCAAGAGCTTGGATGGACTAAGCGGTCATTTATCACCACAGGCGATCTTCTGGTAAACACGGCACTCGCGATTGTAAATTCCACTATCGGGGTCACACCCGCCGAGCGTGCTGAGCTAAAAGATTTTATTAACACGGGAGGCCCCTTGCACGAGTCAATTAGGGGATAAAGCGGACATGGCAGGACTTTTTCTCTCCAGTGCTAGCAGTTTAACAACTTTGAAAGACTTTGGCTGAGAGTGTCCTCCAAGCTGTCGGTCTTGATGGAAATTGTAGGTTTCATGGTGAGTTATTCATTCAGAGAGTGCACCGGCGTGAATCATATGCCTGAGTTTCATGTCCCTCCCTTGCAATCATAATAGCCTGCAGCGTGTCAGTATTGCTCGGAAAATCTATGACCTGTGCACATGTATCTCGAAGTGATTGGTGGACTTTCTGCAAAATTCATTCTTTGGCAAGTTTCTGCTTAGTCTATATTAAGCGATCATATCAACTCTGATCATATATATAGATGTTGTACTATCGCATCTTAGGTCATATCCATAATTGACGCCTTCTCGACAATATCCCATATAGCTATCCGTATTGCACAATGCAAGCCAGTTCCACGTAATCAAAATCTACACCCCAAACACCCGCTCAACAATCCCCTTCGCGCTCTCCATCTCCAGCCCCAACAATCCATTAGCCAGATTCTGATCCCTGACATAGTTCGTCTTCAACCCAGCAGTACTCCCAAAAGCGGTCGCCCGAACTAGCGCGAACGCACCACTAATATCACCTGCACCCAACTTCTTGAGTCCTTCCGCAACCTGCTCCTGGGTCGTAGTCTCCATTACTGCCCACCGTGATTCTGTAACTTCCTCAAGTGTCTTCAGGACTTCATTTTGAGTAGTCTCAACAGATGCAATATATAGAAAGCAGTTTTTGGTTTCCTCCAACCGCAAGATGACGGATAAAACAGTCTTTCCAAGCTGTTCCTGATTCGTCAGGGTGAATGATGTGACACCACCATCCCAGATCACTGCAGACTTGGTCTTAATGTCAAATCCGAGGAAGCCAGATGCGAGTCCCTAGCATACTAATCAGTCATGATATATCGAGGGTTAGTAAGAGAAGACGACTCACCCAGTCAAACAACCCAGAAGTAGCAATTCCAGTCCAGCTCAGCCCATCTTCCTCTTTCTCTTTCAAATAATTGATAATATCCCTCTTCTGCCGGAACAGAGGGAGTAGCTCGATTACAGCATCATCTTCGCTGCTGGTCGAGAACTCGGAGGGAATGAACCGTTTCACGCCCGCCTCGATCGCAGCATCGATGAACTTCTTCTGTTCAGTGAACGCAGTCCCACCAACTGCGGAGATGAGCACATCTTGCTCACGAAGGAGGGACCGGAGACTGGAGGGCGAAAAGTCGGTCTTATGGACCATAACTCCGGGTGGAAACTCAGTCGTGCTGGATGATTCTTGGCGGGATAGGACGGTAACGGTGAAATCGGTATTTGGCCTCAATGCCTTGAGGATAATTTGACCGATCAACCCGGTTGCCTGTGTTGGTCAGTTGGGCGTCCGAAGGAACGTAGTACGAAAGACATACCCCAATGATCGTGACTTTGGTTGGGATGGCCATTCTGGTCTGAGTAGAATGGAATATGTGGTATGAATCGATCGTTTGCTCGAATCTGCTATTGAACTTGCAGCTAGAACTGAGCGAAGATAACCTCTATTTATGTTTGCCTTTGAGGGACTGAATCTACTTGAAAATTAGTTGTATACACACTAACACGCTATTCTCAACCCTAACTTGGGACTAGCCCCAACACCTCAATGCTTAGTGCTTACATCCCATCACCCACCTCTTAAGCAGATGATTCATCATGATTATAAATTCGGACCGCGCTCCGCTGTCCGCCCTAGCCAATAACTGATTGCTCTTGATTTTTCCATTAGTTCACTCACACTCTCGTCTACCCAATACGGCCTACGTTGCGATACATTTGCTTATCTTGACTATTCAATCAAGACATCAAAATGCTACGTCGGACAATCGCATCCGGGAGATCCTGCCTCGAATGCAGTCGACGAAAGATCAAGTGTGATAGGTCACTTCCTTGTTCCTACTGTGTGAAGATCAAAGCAGCATGTGTTTATCCGCCGAAGAGAAGGCAATCTCGGAGCCCGGACTCAGGGAGTGTCAGTGTCACGAGTCGGCTTGATAATATTGAGGATACGCTACGAGTATTGAGCGAGGATCTGGGTCAGATTAGAAACTCCTTACGCCACTTAGTCTCTTTTTCGGCATCCGACGCTACGGGGGATGGTGAGTTTCTCCAAACAAGACCCTCGCTTCCTCATGGAAAGTGCGTCGATACTGGTCTTGGCTCGGAAATTGAAGCAGAGCCTCCAATCCGCGCAAATAGCGCTCTTGATAGCGCAAAAGAAACAATCGAACGACAACACCCGTCGCCTGTCACGATATCCATTCTGTGGCATTGGTACTTGGATACCGTTGATCCCGTATTGAAGACATTCCACACGCCTAGTGTTCAAAAAGACATTCTGCGAGTCATTACAGAAGATACCACTGTGGACGTAGCAAAACAGTGTTTGCTCTTCGCGATCTATTATTCTTCAGTAACCAGTATGTCATCTACCACGTGCTTGGACAAGCTGAATGAAGATAGGTCAACGCTATTGGAACGGTAAGATAGCCATGTCCTCAAACTCGACCCTAACTAACAATATAGATATCGGAATGGAGTCGAGCGCGCACTTGCACGAGTAGACCTTTCGTCTTCCTTAGACATTACTCTCCTACAAGCATTTACCATATATCTTGTGCGTGACCGAGTCCCTTGGCCTAAAATTTATCTAATAATCTTACTAGACCTGTCTCCGACTAGACAGCCGCGGCCCAACAGTCAAAACCCACCTCTCTACAGCCATCAACATGGCATACCGGATGAATCTTCACCGTGACGGCACAACACAAAGACTTTCAGTATTGGAGACTGAAACGCGACGTCACCTATGGTGGCAGCTCGTTACCCTTGACACCCGAACCGCAGAAGATCACAACACAACGCCCTATATCCTTAAACCATCCTTCACCACACAATTTCCATGCATCATCGTTGACGCAGGCCTCCCATCCCCGAGCATATCCAATGCAACTACATCCTGCACGTTCTTCCAACTTCTCCATTACGAACTCATATCCTTCACCCGACGCATCATTTTCTCGGACACTTTCAATCAGGCAAACGACTATCACATCTTGTCCCCAATACATAAGCACAAGGCCATCAACGACTTTCGACAATCACTGGAGACCCGATATTTCTCTCACTGTGGCTCCATAAATCCCCTAGAATTTATAACGGCGGCAACTGTTCAGCTCTTCCTCGTGGAAATGAAATTAGCGGTGTGTAAGCCTGGACAAAATTTTCGACCTATTTGTGTAGAGGTCCTTCAGCGAGCACTCGCGCTGAGGGAGCATGAGCAGGGACAGAAGTGGCTTTGGCTGGTTCAGAGGGATATAGAGTGGGGGATGATGGAGCTGCTGCTAGATGATCTATGCGCAGAGGGGGTGAACGAGGGAAGGGAAGAGGCATGGAGGGTTGTTGAGCAAGCATATGGAAATTGGGAGGGGGATGAAACTGAACAGGAAACTGGAAAATGGGCGGTCATTAAGGCTTCAAGGACCCGTGCTTTGACTGTTCGGGGTTGCGCGAGCGAAGTCGTTGTGTCGAAAGGCCTCGAATTGGTGCCGGACAGTTATGGTCCTGTGCCGGTGGAGGAGCTTGCTGAAGGTACTGTAACGGGAGAACTGCCAGGCGATGGAACCGTGTGCGAGTGGAGTATGGAGGCGTTTGAGCAGTATTTTCTGGCGCTGGGTGCCGGGGACGGTATGTCGAATGTGCTTTAAGCTGTTAGCTTGTACCGAAGCGTACATTTGTAGATGGAACCATATATAATTGGGCGTTGAGTGACAGGGTCTATATGGGTATCACATACGGACTTGAATTAATGTCATAGAACAGCAAGAATTTGTGAGCGATAGATATTGCAATTTCGTGGTCTGCTTATAACCTCGTTGAGAAGTGTAGCGTTGAGACGACGTAATTGGCCACTTGGTGACAGCGATGAATGCATCGAAAGACAATACTGCCTGCGAAAGTATGGTCTGCTCAAGATTAGTGCCAGGTGTCACTAGCAGGATTTTCATACCCTGCAAGCTGGCTGCATGCTAAGCTTTATCGGCCTAAAGGACCTATCACATATTCATTCGTCTGTGCGCTTGCCAACCCACTACTAACTTTGACGATCTCCCTCTTATGCTCATTCCTCATCCCCCAGCTGACTACCAATACAATATATTAGTTATTGCTTATTGCACAATCTATTGCTTATTGCACAATCTATTGCTTATTGCACAATCTATTGCTTATTGCACAATCTTATGCTGGTCAGAGAAATGATGAGCTGGCGCGCAGGGCCCCGCATCTTCCCCAGATCGAAGCCACGACCACCAGATGCTAGTTCTTTTCTACCGTGGCATATTAGAACAAACATCATCGGACGCCGTTAATCGACCTACAAGAGTTGAACAGTCATGGGTGTATCCCTGCGATCGGGGCTGTATTACGCTCTGCCACCATCAATAGCGGGCTTCGCCTACGGATGGGAGATTGCGTCCATGAGCGGCATCTTAACGATGCCGCAGTTTCTTTCCTACTTTCATACGCCATCAGCTTACCGACAAGGTGCCATGACAGCGTCTCTTCAAGCTGGAGAGTTTGGGGGTTCGTTACTGATTGGGTTCTTTCTTGCTGACCGATTCGGCCGTCGATACACGCTCCTCATTTGTGTAGCTATTTATCTTGTGGGGCAAGCACTGGTTGTCGCTGCACAAAACCAAGCCATGTTTATTGCGGGGCGACTTGTCAATGGACTCGGAGCAGGTGGTCTATTCCAATCTATTTCTCTGTAAGTATATCACCTTTATCGCTCTCACTATTTTATTTTCTCCTCCGCTTTTCTGGGTTTTGCTCAAAGTGTCAGGTATACCGCAGAAACAACTCCGCACACAATCCGCGGCATTATGTCCTCCACAATGAGTGCAGGGATTGCTGTTGGCTTGCTAGTATCTTACTGGGTACAGTATGGAGCGCTCAAGATTCCCGGAACAGCCGCATGGCGTATGTGCTTTGCCTTGCAGCTAGTACCTGGGGCCCTAGTGGGTATGTTGATATATCTTCGCCCAGAGTCCCCACGCTGGCTCTTCCAACACGATCACGGCGACGAAGCACTTCAAGTTCTGGCAGACCTTCATGGTCACGGTGACAGCTCCAACCCATCCGTACAAGCCGAGTTCCAAGAAATCCGAGTGGTTGTGCAATATGAGGGCCGCACACCTCCCCCGTCATACCTGAGCCTTCTCACCAAAGCGCCCTACCGGCGTCGCAGTGCGCTAGCAATGGGTCTGCAATTTATGCAGAACATCAGCGGTGTCAACATCGTCTTCTACTATGCAGCCAAGGTTTTCGCACAGACTGGACGCACCGGGACCCAAGCGGCGATGCTAGCGAACGGCATAGGATCTTCCCTATTCCTAGTTGCCTCCTTTTCGCTCACCCTCATGATCGACCGGTACGGTAGACGGAAACCACTAATCATCGGCCCAAGCCTCATGGGTATCTGCATGATTATTGTTGGCATGTTACTAGTGGGTTATGGTTCGCCGCATTTCGATGCCGAATCCCAGCAGTTGAAATACAGCTTTGCGAACATCAAGGCTGGCAATGCGGCTGTGGCATTTGTATTTCTATACATGATTTCCTTTGGCTCGACGTGCGCTGCGTTGCCCTGGACTTATCAGAATGAGGTGTTCCCCATTTCGGCGAGGGGAAGAGGGACTGCACTTTCTGCCTGCATTAATTGGTTTGTGAATTTTTGGCTCGGGTTGTATATGCCTGAAGCGTTGAATAAGGCTGCGTGGAAGATATATTTTGCTTTCGGGGGTGTTTGTGTCGCGACTTCTTTTGTTACGTATTTGTTCTATCCGGAGACTGCGCAGCGGTCGCTGGAGGAGCTTGATTTGTTGTTCACACCGAATCGACGTAAGCTGGTTTGCTTTGACTGGGAGGCATGTCAGAAGGGATCATTATTGCATCATGATCTGGAGGGAGTGGAGGTGGCACAGCAGCTGGAAACTGGGCTGGTCATGGGAGGGATTGAGAAGACAGTGAGTTAAAGATTTATTTTTGTGCTTAATATACTCGGCATATACTAGTATCTTCAAAGAACCGTGCTAAAGAAAATAATACGAAAATTGGGTCGTACGCGTATAACAAAACGGTGCACGATGGCGGATGGATGTAAGAACCGAGTGATTAAAGCAGAAGGATCAGAACGAACAATCTCCCGACAGTACTCAATGTGCTTATACACAGCCCCTACGGTTTAGAATAGTCACACTAAAAGTAAGCTTCCTCGGCGTCCCACTAGACGGACACGGAACTATAATTAACCCAGCCTCCTGCACAATGATGCATTTTTCTGACAATGTCCTATCAACATCCCAGTAGACTTAACCCGACCGGTCCCGCCCAACCCAATCAAACTCCTTGTGAGCAGCCACCCGTATCGCTGGCCTGGTGATTCGATAGAAAGTAGTCACAGGTGAGACAATTCCAACGACGCGTATAGCTTCATGCTTGTCAGCTGCCCTGTCCTATCAGGATGTGCTTAACGGAGAAATGCGGATGCAGGTCTCAATTAGAATAGCTAAGCTCAGATGATCATTGCACGCCTGATTGATGATCATAAAATGCTGATGCGGCTGAGTTGACATTGCCATTTTCAACCATTCTGTGAATATAAATACGCGATTGACCATCTCATCTAACATCAGAACCACAGCCCATCACATCCACCACAATCTACCAACAACCACCCTCAACACCGTAACTATGACTTTCCTCACCACCCTTATCCCCCTCCTCACTCTCCTAACCCCTGCCCTCTCCGCCACGAACTGCAGCACCGGCGCCTTCACCGTCATGTCCATCCGCTCCGGCACTTTCATCCAAAACCTCCCCTTAACCGCCGCCGACACCAACTTCTACCTAGGAGGCACGACCTCCACCGCATGTCCAGAGGACGTAGCTGAATACGACGCTTGCCCACCAGGAGATGAAACTGTGATCGACTACAGCAACTATCTGGTATGTCTACCTACCACTCCGCAACTCCTTCCCATCGCATGAATGACTGACAATCAACAGAGCTCCGGGTACGTCCAAGAAATCTACGTCGACCCCACCGGTGCATTGAAGTTTGTCGAAGCGCACACGACATACATGGACCCCGGCGCATCGACGAGCACGTTCTGCTACACGCCGGGTACGAGCTATGGACAGTGGACGTATACAGGCCTCGGGGCGACGGGGTTCATGGCTTGTCCGTTGGATGAGGATGAGGAGGTGAACGGGGGTGCGTGGCAGGTCTTTGCGGCCATGAAGAATGCAACGGTGCCGTCGGGGAATGTGAGCGATTGCTTGGAATTTGAGGCTCTTGCGTATCCGTGGGTGTCGAATGGGAGCTCGATTGCGGCGTGGCAGTATGATTGATTTATCCCGGGTTACTTAGATGGGGTAAGGTGTATGTAAAGCAGGGATGGGAGAGTTGAGCGAGTAAGGTATGTATATGTTAATTCTCTCATTAGGGAGCTTAGATAGTACTATTGGGGGTGATGGTTATTGACATAATGGATGTTTGCATAAGAGGTTTTTTGCTGTCAAGGGTGTCAAATCTTCGGGGGATTGCTGACATACGAAAGACAGTAACTAGTTAGAACCTACGTAGCACTAGAAAAGTATAAGAGGAACGATTCAAACAGCACTAGGACCCTCCAACAAAACACAGCACAAGTCACAAGGCACTCAATTGAACCAAATCACCCCACTCTAACCGATAAAATCTATTATAGTATATCTACAAGCAGTCTCCCACCTCCGACAACTCCGCGGGAAACTCAACACCCACGCCCATCGCCTAAACACTTATCACCCCATACTCTCGGACTACCACAACAACGCCCCCACACCATCCCGTCAAGTCTACTACATACTGCACCGCGTCTCGTCTACTCCAGACTAAAGACTACAATTCTAACCGGCAATTGCAGCCATCCCATCGAATGACGTAGAACCCCACTCACTCCTCTCACTACCAGGACACGCGACAGTCGACACAGACACAACCCTATAGACCGACCGACATGGGGAAAAGGAAGCGATCTTTCCTTATTCCCCGGAGATTCCTTGCCCTCAATGCCGGACATGTATTCTACCACTGACTCGTAATATCCATTCATAACACACTATACCTCTACAACCTCCACAAACTAGACTACAACGTTCGTACTCACTAGGCCCCCATACCAACCAGAAACAACCACAAGAACCCGGTAGATCCGCCCCGATCAGATCCGACCCCAACGTCCAAATGCCGCTCAGATCCGGCATGTCCGTCTACCCATCTAACATGGGGGCGAGATCGGAATCGGAATCAAAATCGAGCCCGGAATCATCGCATCCATCCATGCCTTGCCCTACCTACCTTGATTAATAGTAGAGACCACTAAGAAATACCCGGACACCCACCCAAACAACCCCATTGGCCAACTACATGAGCATATCCCGGCTTAGGATCCCGAAAAATTCCATCACGACAAAACTAACCCCAATCTAGACTACTAGTTAACACTGTGTCTGGTATAACGTTAGTCAGCCCAACTATCTAACTCACCACTAGCCAACTTAGTGTAGAAACTATCAATGGACTAAACTTAAGTAACCCAAGGGCCATGCGCCATGGGACACATGCAGGGATCAGACCATAGCCAAGACATTGATTGACAATAGGGTAAGACGGGAAGAAAAAATTTTTTTTTCTCTGTATGTTCCCTTCCTTTCCGGGGTAATGTCTTGGTTTTCAGGCACATGGCATGACATTAGGATTGTTCCATGGGACTGAAATGATCTGTGGATGGAACAAGGGAAGGAGGGGAAAGGAAGGGGTAAATAGTCTACGCCAGCCGCTTTTCTGGATGTTAATGGGGTGGAGTGGGCTGGTTATTAACCGGGTGGGTAAATTGTTGCTTTTTGGTTCATAACGGTTCAGTTGGACTGGCTGTTCCTGGGGGAGGGAAAATTATTAGGGGTAGCTTCGGGGACTCTTTCCGTTCGTATTTATCTATTTCTTAACGAGAGGGATCATAACAGTTCATTTATTGGGTCACTAATATCCTGAAATTGGAGGAAAAGGGATGCAGAGTAGAGATATTAACTGACATTAACTAATCAATTATCTATATTGATTAATTCGGAAGACTTCCCATCTGGGAATAGACTCCCCCCGTCGTACCTCGGATCAAAACTCGGTACGCCGCGCAACCGAAATAAGGATGATGAATTCAAGAGAGCAACGTGTCTGATATATATGATGCCGAACCAAGAACCGAAATGCCAAAAATCAAGCAGCCACGGCATTATGCCTGTTGTATGGTAAAACTGTAAAGATGATATCATAGCTCGTGAGAACCCAATAAACCCAAGCCCGCCAACCGGAACACCACCCATGCAAACCCTCTATAGGAACTCCTTTTCAGATGAATACAGCGACGAGGTTGAGTCTCCCGGTCCCGGGAGCTGCACCTTGGTCGCATCAAAGCCCCACGCCTGTTCGCGAGCTTCCTTGCCGTTGCGGACTTGCATGGGCATGGTCCACTCCTTGAGGCGGCCCTCCAAAAAGCCCAGGTCACGGTTCTTTTCCCACATGCGTCGGGACACCTGGAAGGCTGCATTTACTGTTCCCCGTCGCAAATCCTCATAAGCCTTGAAAGCGACAGGGAGAGGATCGTAGCGGTGCTTCGCTAGGATGCGCGAGAAGAGAATGGCGTCGTCTAGGGCGTACGCGGCAGATTCATCACGCGGCGGCATCTACTAAGATCAGTATTAATTCAAAGGCATCCAAGGGATAAACACTTACTGCATGCGCCGCGTCACCGAGGAGGATGACCCGGTTACGGTACCAGCGTGCACCCGGGCGAACTTGCCAGACAGGATAGAGCATCCAGTCGTCGGCCTTGTTGACCATGTCCCGGATGGCTGGGAGGCCCGACCGGCCGAAACGGTCCCGCATCTCTTGGCAAAGGGCATCTTTGATAGCCGCGGTGCGTCGCCAATCCTGACCCGGCTCAATCTTGTAGTGCGACAGGAGCTCCTCCCGGAACTGTACGATGGCGGCAACGAAGATTTGAGTATGATCTCGATCACAATAACTGGCGAGCAAAGAGCCATGACGGGAAATGTTCATCGAGGTGGAGCGGAAATGAACAGGGGCCTTGATGTCTTTGCTATCAATCATGGTTTGGACGAATGAGATGCCCGTATACTCGGACGGGTGCTCGGGAGAGACCCATTGGGTGCGGACGTTGGAGTGGACCCCATCGCAACCGAGAACTAGGTCCCCGGTGGCCGTTGTGCCATCTTGGAAGTATAGGACGGCCTTGTCTTTTGTCTCCTTGCCGCGGACCAGCTTCTTGCCAAAGACCACATTGACGTTCTTAGTGCGCTCGACAACTTTCAACATGGCCAAGGACAGGATGATACGCATCACTCTGCGGCCCTTATACCCACCAAATCCATTTCCATTGTCATCAGTAAAGTTGATGGCGCCAAGGGAGCGTCCCGAGCGGCTGGAGAACAGCTGGATAGCATCTACATCGGTGCCAGACTCCGGTCCCAGCTTGTCCAGCTCGTCGAGGACACCCAAGCGATCCAGATGGCGCTGAGCAACGGGGGTGAGGTTGATAGCACCGCCGGATGTGGACAGGATGTCGTGCCGTTCATAGACGTTGATCCGGAGATCGGGGACAAAGGGTGTCAATTCCTTTGAGAGGGCCAGGGCAACGGCAATGCCTGCAATGCCGGCACCCACGACCAAGATATCGCGGGGGACCGATTCAGCTTCGAGAGGGGGAGCTCGGTCCACGAAGTTCCAGAAGCTGACCCAATCCTTTCCGGCGGAAGGTGGCGGAGTCGCCTCATACCCAAGATCCATCATGGTTGCAACTTTTGAGATGTGATTCAACCGATACGACAGCGGTAAAGGGTCCTATTCATGAGAGATGATCGAAGGTCGTGGAGGGGTGCTGCCATAAAGAGAATGCGTGTCGTGTGCGTAGCTGCCCAAATCAGGAGGGATTCGCTTATAATAAGGATTAAGAAGACTTTAGTGAAGAAAAAAAATCCTTCGGAGGCAAAATTTGACTACTAATATCCAGGGGGAAAGGTTAGGGGATTGGGGTTTGTATATGTACACCAATCCCCCGGTGCACCGGCCAGGCTCCGTAGTTTGTAGACCAGCAGGAGACATGTTCGGCCGGATATGGAGACTGTTCGGAGGTAGGTCTGCCATGGTGGTATGGAGACTCGACGCGGCGAAAAAAGTTGGCAGGAACCAAGACCCAAAAAAAAAGTTTTACTTTCCCTGTCGAGAAAAAAAATTTATTGAGAATACAAAAATTAAAAATAAAAACCACCAAAAGAGATTTGCCTGCATGCTCCCCACTCCTCAAACTAAACCTCGTCTGGCGACCGTCGAGGCAGAGACCGAGCATCAACGGCGCCAGGCCAGCGTCTGCTGCTCCACCCGACCTCCGAGACCACGGCCGATTCGGGATGCTATAGGCTGGTGGAACCAAGCTGTCACTGACTGAACGGTATCCTGGCCCGCGGTGGGCACGCTGGATCATCTCATCACAACCGTTACGGTCCGGCGCGGCACTCTTGGGAGCAAGTTAGTCCATTAGATCCAATGGTGAGTGGTAAGTACTATATTGAGGGGACTGATAGATCAAAGGGACTGGATGAGAAGGAAGGAAGTGCTTACCGAGGTTGGGACAGGAAGGTGTGGGTCAGTCCGTGTGGGAGCTAAGACTGAGATGAGCCAGGATGAAGGACTGATCTCGTCGGCCGGAAGGGGTTCATGTTCGTGTCTCAACTCTCAAGCGATGCCGGCGCAAAGACCGGGAATGGTAGGAAACTATGCATGGTGATGCAGAAACTAAGATGTGGATGAGCTGAGATCTTCTGCTGAAAATTTCTACTTGTTTAATGTGTAATTGTGCGTAGCCAAGACACTAAGGTGTGAAGAGGGCAGGGGGGGTCACCTGCTACTGCATACATCCTGGCATCTTCAGTCAGGTTTTTCAGGCTAACTGGCCGCAGCTGAAGCTGTTGATGACGATGATGTAGAGAACCCCATCGGAAGAGTGTTGTCGTTTTTTTACTGCGGCTGCATGACTGATTTAGGGTAATCACAATCACATGTTACGATCGCAAATCGAGCATATTAACCCAGACCAGGAGGATCAATCTCTGCCAGCGCCATCGGCGCTTATGCTGATATCCCAACTCCCATATCAGTTCCACTAAAGGAGTTATGCTGCAAACTCTACGCATTCCGGCTTTGACATCGACCCCAACGCCAGGCACTAAGAATTCAGGAACCGCACACAGATGGTCCAAGTGCCCTTCGGTCGCGATCCCGACCCTCCGAAATGATCAGGACAGTCTAGACTCCGCTCGCAGCTCCCCTTGGCTGTCCCCTCTTGCCGCGACTTGGAATGTTCGATAGGGGGATAATACGGAGAACTGAGAGTCTTTGCGCCGGCCGCCGGGTTCCATCGACGGTACTTCCTCATCCAACCATATTCGATGCTGTCCTGCGCTATTGTGTTCCCCACTTCGTTTGGCCTCGTCCGTGAGCTGCGTGACGTAGCCTCAATGGTCTCGGATCGACTTCTTGGTAGGGAAACAGACTGAGAAGGGGATAGCAATTCTGTGTTCGACTAAAGAAGGTAGCCTGTTGCCTCGTATAGACACAAATCAATGGCCTGCCCTCATGGATGTCAAAAGTTCATGCACCTGTCATGCACAGAGACAGAAACCATGCGTGACTCAAACCCGGTTTCGCTTGACCTGTCAGATCTGAATTTTCTAGCGTCAACTCTGGTTTCCACCACTCAGGGTCGACCACCACCAGCAACGCCCTCTGAGAACAGTGTGTGTTCCTGACGATCCATAGCTATTTTCTACCTAGTCGATAAGTAAGCTAGTCAACATTGCTTTTTTTTATTATTATTTTTTTTCCGACATCATGAACTCCCGTTGTTTCATTTCAGCTTCCCTTACTAGTACACACCGGATCGTTTCAATCCAGAAGCAACTCCGTCCATGACGACTACTCAGCCTTATGCGGAGAAACGCATCCTCGAATCATGGGTCGCAGCAGGAGATGTCAACTCCTCATCTGTTGCAGCCGTTCCGGAGGAATTGCCGGAACGGCCACGCGAGGCCCCTCTTACCTCCTCCCTCTTCCGCTATCCGGCGTCTCCATAACCCCTGGAATAGAAACATAACCTAGACAGACTGGCAGAGACATTATACGAAATGGCGTCCACTACGGTACAACCACCTACCACGGAACACAGGTCCGTCAATCACAGCCTCGAAAAAGGTGCCAGGTAACTGTGATATCGCACCGCATCAAACACCCGTTCGCTTCAAAAAGGGCAGAAGGAACCCATGACCATACCCGGAAATTGCATCCGCCCGAATAGCCAGAGATGAACGAAACCTTGCACCCGATATCCGACACTGACGATCTGCAAGTCCAAAGCCCCTGCCACTCTTGGCGAGCGGGGGCAGAGTCATCGTCACACGTACGCAAATATCCGTCTCGTGATGAGTTTAGTGCCTAGCACAGCTACCTTCCATAGGTTCAACGGTTGCAGAGACAGGACAAAGAGAGCAGGTATATCCCCACCCCGGTAACTGTCATCAAACTCTATCGCGAGATCGGCAGGCCTAGTTCATCCTGAGGACGTGGCTTGACATACCCATGCGTGAATCGATGATTATTATTTTCCAATATTAACTGAATGTACTCATCATCAACCACCTTAGTTCCATGCACATGCAGATGGGATGGGGGATCTCGATCTGTGGTAAATGCCGCATGGCGGAAGGTATCTCCCTATATGAGTGGCCTATTATTGTTCGTGGGTGATCGTCAATGGTTAGGCTGTTTCGCTTCGTGGTACTGCGTAGGTAGATAGGTCTAGATCTATATTTTCGGAAGTAGTACTCCGTGCATCATGATGAATCTACTGGTACTAGTAAGGTCTTCAACGACAGACTCCAGTGCGATGCACTCTTCACAGACTAGCATGACACATAGTGTTTCTCGCAACTAACAACTTTCTAATCACTACGTCTTTCACGGAATACACAGCAGAGTCGCATCAACCGCATTATCCCTCTAAGCCAAGCATAGTATTTCCGTATCTTGACCCCGCACACAATCCAACAGACCAACCTAGACCACCTCCTACAGTTGAGGTATCCCCATCACGTCAGATATATTAAATGTGAGGTGTATGTTCCCCAACACATGGAGATAAGGCGACAGGGCCTACTGAATTTTGGGTCCGAGCGTACGTACGGTCCCCTACTTGTACTAGACTGGACCTATGATTGAGTCGCGCCGCGTCACGTTGGACCTGTACTACCTAGTTTGCACCGATAAGGGTTTCATCTATACCGGCAAGACGGGGAGAGGCCTATGCGTATCTTGGATATCAGGGGTGTACGAGAAAAGGTAGATAGGTGCTGCGCACGGATAGCTTGTCTGGTATCTGGCGTGCTAAAGTGTAGGGTCTAGACAACTCATATATTGGACAATGCTAGATAATGAATGAATGGTACAATATTGACGCACAGATGCGCGGCTTCACATGTAATGTACTAACTCTAAATCTGGATCTCTCTTATGCTATCATATCTCTCTGAAACGCTAAATGCAAGATGCATGAACTTTTCGTATATGCAAGGAGAAACACTTTTGGATGTATCGTCAATAGACCGTTTTATGTAGGCCAACCGGGGAGGTTATCTCGGCCGGGTATATACGAGTCTGCGCGACGGTCGCGTCGGAGACTAAGTCTAGTCTAGGTGGATTCCGCCACACGATCGAAATGGACTTTCGAGTCTAGGTTGAAGAAGGTGTTGACGCCAGAGAGAAGACACACAATTGCTAGTTTTGTTAGCGTTGCCTCAAAAATGGGATGGGAAGGGGGACAAACCGATAACGCAGCTCATCTCGTAGTATCCGACTTGTTCGGCGATGTAGCCGGAGATGATGGGCCCGATGAATGCTCCGAGCGTCCATCCCATACTGGCTACTGACAGAGCACGGGAGTAGCCTCCGTTGGGGCCAAAGATGCCGGGGTGCTTGGCTTCGACCTCGTCAATTGTCACTGTTGTTGTGTTAGGTTGTGTTCATAGTGTTATCTTTTTTGTACTGCTGAAGTTGTACTTACCCGTAGCCTCGATGGTTCCGGCCCCGTTCAGCAGACAGGACACTGATCCCACCACAGTAACACCGACAGCATAGATAATCTTCCCGCGATCACCCTCATTGGCCCATGGGAATCGCTCGTCACCAGGCATGCCGATTACCCACATCACGGGCGCGAGAAGCAAAAAGCCGACCGTGGTAGGCCATCGGGTTCCGACCCGATCTTTCAGCCAACCACAGAGGGGGCTAAGAAGGATCCCGGGACCTTGGAGAGCGAAGAACATCATACCAGCAGGAAAACTACCCCAGCTGAAGACATCGCGAACATGAAGGGGAAGGGTGGTGTCGAAGCTGGAGACCAGAACAGCAAAGGAAAGATAGCTGAGCACGCCGCAGACGAAGCGGGGATACCGCAAGATATATACATAGAATTTCCAGCCCGCCATGTCGGCCTCTAAGCCAGGATTACTGCTCAGGAGAGGAGCGCGTTCCGGATCCGATGCAACACTCGCATTGCTAGAATAGTCCGCGTCGCCTTGGACGTCCGGCTTTTCTAGCATGAGCAGACGAAGAATGATGTCGAGGATAAGGATAATAAAGGCACTAGACCACGCTACCCAGTATCCACCCAGTTCGAAAAGGATGCCCGCAACCATCGGACCTCCTGACGTGCCTGCTGCTACGACCAGAGAAATAACCCCGTATGTCTTGCCCAGATTTTCCGGTTGCACATTGTCCGCGATCGTGGCGTATCCGACCACCCAGATGAAGGAGCTGGCAATTGCCTGAATGAGACGTCCCGCGAAGAGCGTAAATGCTGTGCATAGTTGTCAGTATGCCAACATTCCAGAGATATGCGACATAGAGACCTACTTGATGTCGCCAAGGCCAGAACTATGGACCCAAACAACGCAGCTAACAGCGATCCAACGAGCAAGATTCGCTTGGAGGACATGCGATCGGCATAGTGGCCAATGAAAGGGCTCGTAACGAGAGCAGCGATGGCCGTTTCTGACAGCAAAGCGAAACTCACGCGCTGGGTGAGGGATACGTCTAATCCGAGGCGGTTTTCGAGAACATAGGGGAGGATGGGGACGAGGAAGGCGTAGAGAAAGGTGTCTAGATAAGGCGACAGATATTGTAAGCGGAATTCCTCACAGTAGGACAAACGCAGTCAATTGGGGTGTTACCAGTGAACAAGGCCATGGCCATGGCGCTGACAATGAAAAGGGGCGATGACCGCCATTGCTGGCCCCATGCGCCTCCCTTGGAGTCGGAGAAAGTCATGGTGCCGTTGTACAACTGCAGACCAGTTGGGAATGAGGCAGAGAAGACATTGCGATGGAGCGCTGCTGATAAGGATTGAGGGATCGGTGTCAGCCCTTAGCTGGCACCCCAATCGGAGTCCGCGGCTAGCAATTCCGAAACCGAAGCCGGGGTTACTTATTAATCATCCAGCACGGAGTACGGAGTAATAGATGAGGATGATATACACCGCTTCCCATGATTTTCGGGCCATGCATGGTGTCCCAACATAAACCTAAGCAGGTCATTGTTGGTGGGTATCTACCCTAGGGCCCGTGTTGACTGCAGGGAGAAGCAAGCACCTTGCAGGGGAAATCGAACATGTTTTGCGGGTGGGGCAAATCCTGACCAGGCACCCAGGCAGCAAGGCATCAACAGCCCACTGGGGGTTTATCTACTAAATATGTCTAGAAATTGATGGAGGCTGACTCTAATATGCGACAAATAGCCTATGATGATCAAGAACAAATGAAATTAGCCTGTTTCAATTATTAGGGAATGAAGCCTGCATTCACACAGTATCTCCCCCGAGTTCAATGTCAAAGGCCAAATCCCTGCAGGAAACACCTTCATTATCGACGCTCTCCCCACTGTCCGATAGGTGGTCTGACACGTCCTGCAAACCTGGAACCAGAGCTTTTGACGCCTGTGTATAGGTTAGGCTCTGATCTTCTGCATCTTTCGTAGCCAGGACCGTCTCTGGTACTACAACGAGAGCCCCGCTCGTTGACTCTTTGTACAAGCCGGGCCACAGCGTGCATTTAACACGACCTGCAACCTCCTGGAAAGGTATAGCCTGCTGCATATGATCCGGGGTAAATTTATCTCCCAAGGCACTGCGAAAGAAATGATAGCGGCTCAGTTGTCGATCTAGATCGCGCTTGAACTGCATGCACTCCCGTACAAGGGCACGCAATCGTATGGCCACAGTGGGCCCTTCAACGGAATAGTACTGCGAGAGCATTATCTCCACTTGAGATACCACCATGTTTATGTCACTTTGCTCATCTCCAAGCTTCTCTACGGCCGTGCTTGTGGCCGTGCGCCAGTGATGCTCAACATTTCCGGGGCCTGGGGTTCAAATCAGTCTCACTTTGACCTACAATAGATCGGAAGTCATACAATTCTGCCGTAGTGTCTCTGCAATAGACACGAATCTTGACGATTCTTCATTGGGTATTCCTAGTAGGTATGAACTGAATATGCGCTGAAACAGAATTTGGCTGACGACAGAGACGATAAACGCTCGAATCTCATGTGGGCCTCGAGGTACAAACATTGCTCCACTGCGCTCGAGATCCTGTCTGACTTGGTTCAGCTGATCCAAGTCGCGAAAGTAGGTATTGGTCCAGTTTCTAAGTCGCTGTAGGAGCCGTCTCATATTTTGTGCAATATCGTCGTCAGAGAGAATGTTTGGCTGGAAATTTAGTGCTTGTATCTGCTGCGTGAGTAATCGGATGTCTGATTTCTTTTTAGCCAGCTCTAATCTCATCGACTCCTTAAACTGCTGCGCGTGGTGTAGTTGACGCCGAAGGCCCTCTTCTACGTGACCCGTTGCCAGTGCAGCCTTTTCTAACCCTCTGTATAGTTCGGGGTTGTTCTGGGAATGTGAGCATGGGGATGTCATTACTGAATCGTCAACTGTGAAATCGACTCACGCGAAGAAGATGTTCGACAGGTGACAATCTTGGAGGCGACATATCGCCGGTGGTAGCAAGTCTTCGGGGCCTTTCCATGTTGCGAAGGACATCAAGCATTGGAAAGTACTGGGAAACGATGTCGATGAACTGCTCCATGGGTAATTGCCGTTGTGTAAAATGCTGAACTCATCCTCCAAGGTCTTTGCCAACGTTGACTTCATCACTTCTGGCTAATCGTCATCGTGACTATGGGGACGGAAGTGATGCATGGTAATGACAGAATCCATCTCTCTTCGGCTCCTTAAATCCGCTCTGCCACCCCTCCTTTCATTTCCACATTTTCTTATTCGTATCTGTACGATAATATACTACTGTGTCTCAAATATGTCGAATCCTCGTATCGTCATTGGACTTGACTTCGGCACCACTTATAGTGGGTAAGAGATAATGAATTACCCAATCGTGATCGGGGAACTAATATTTGTCAGTGTCGCCTGGGCTTTGAGAGATTGTCCAGATAAGCCAGAAGTCATAATGTCGTGGCCTGGAGCTGGGAACCGTTTGTGGCGTCTTTTGATACGTTTTTAAAACAATCTGCTGATAATTAGCAACAGGGACAACACCTAAAGTCCCTAGCACCATGGCGATCAAATGCGGTGGGCGTGTCCATTGGGGTTACCAAACCAACTACCTTGTTGGAGATAATATCCGGGGCATGAAGCTATTATTAGATGAGCCCCAGAATTCAGGATACGTAGCATCTTTGATAGATGCGGGACTGCTCAAAAGGTCGCGCATACCTGCGGTTACTTTGACAGGCATGTATCTAACAGGACTGGTTGACCACACCAAGAAGATTCTCCAGAGGCGCTTTGGCCCAGCAGCCGAGCAGATGGAGATGAAGTATGTCCTAACGGTGCCGGCCATTTGGTCTGATAAGGCAAAGGATGCGACCTTGAAAGCTGCTTCAAGGGCCAAAATCCCTCAGAAGGATATTACTTTGGTATCTGAGCCAGAGGCGGCAGCTTTGTACTGCCTCAATGCAATTCAACCTAACTCCATCGAGGTAAGTTGGAGTACGCAATAAGAAGAGCTTCTTTTTGACGTCGAATGCAGAACAACGATGTTGTCGTAGTATGCGATGCCGGTGGTGGTACTGTGGTAACTAAGCCTATCCACGCATGAGTGTCTATTTGGCAATTATCATGACTGAACACGACAGGATCTCATCTCATACTGCGTGAAGACGGTGTCTCCATTGCGCTTGGAGGAGGTATCCGAGGGCAGCGGTACGCTATGCGTCCAGCCGAGACGCTATGTAAATCGGCTGACAAAAACAGGTGACATCTGTGGATCGGTTCTGCTCGATGCCGCATTCAAGACTTTTCTCAATGTCCTGGTGAATGATAAGCACCTAAGTGGAAAATCCTCCGAATTGGCGTTGAAGTACTGGCAAGATCAAATTAAGCCCAATTTTGCGAGTGACCCGGACTTTGAGGAGGAGACCCATTTTGTACCTCTGCCTGGATTGAAGGACAACCCCAAGATAGGTCTACAAGATGGGTTTCTTCAGCTGGAGGGGTGAGTAAATCTGCATCTTCGATGCATCCCTGCGCGCCTCGAAGCTAAACTCTAGAACTATAGTGCTCAGATTAAGAAGATCTTCGATCCGGTTGTTGACCGAGTCAAGGTGCAGATAGTTCACCAGGTTAATAGTGCTAGAGCGAAAAATATGCCAGTGAAGGTGAGTACATCAGTCAATTTACGAGCGTGGCTGATTATTACCGGTAGGCAATCCTTCTGGTGGGAGGATTCGGGTCATCCGAGTACCTCTATCACTGTATTCAGGAAACATTCAGTGACATTGCTGTGATGCAGCCACCAAACTCGTAAGAAGTTAAGGAATGTCTTTTATGCTGCCCAGGCTAACAAGCACTAGGTGGTCTGCTGTGATGCTGTGAGTCTCTAAAGGTAGAAAGGGTATTGGCGCAGCCTGCTTACCTTAATCCAGTGGTGCGGTTCGATATGGTTTGGGAGGCAACCAGGTTACGAACCGAATTGCTCGATGCCACTATGGCATTTGGCATGAAACACATAATCCCGACACAATGGCTAAGTTTCCAGACGCAAAGAGATTCTGGGATGACTTGAAGGAAAGGTGGTATATTCGCGACATGATGAAATGGTATATCCACAAGGCAAGTACTCAGTCGATGATCTCCGGCAAACCATGCAACTGTTGCTCATTACTTTGTAGGGCGACGAGATTCACGAAGGGAAACCCATTAGGATGGGTTTTGACACGACCGTTGCTGTTGGCAGAACGCCCAGTGTTTTTAGCAGACTAAAAATATGCCTTCACAGTGAAGCGCCAGAACGTAGCGATAGTAGTAGGCAACTGACTATTTCATGTTCCACTGAGGTACATCAGCTAACTAGTATGCAGGTGTCTACCAGTTGTGTACCTTGACAACTGATTTAAGCAGTGTACCAACTCAATACTTCACAAAACACACGAACAGCAAAGGCACGGAGTACTACACTATTAGTCATGTCATGATTATGACCCCGGGGTCCGCCTCAATTAAATTCGAGCTGGAGTTTAATGGCCAATCGTATGGGGAGGTTCAGGCTACTTATTTCGATTGAAAGTTGCACTCGGACACTCCGACTGCGGTGTGTTCAAGATACTGATCGTGCTTCTTTCTTTAAACTAGCGTAGCCATAGGAATTTTGATTCGAAGTCTATCAACAGGTCCAACTAGTGCATAGTGATAGCTCAGAGGTATTGACGCTCTCATATAAACTCATGCGTCTAGACAGCCTACTTCTAACTGTATTCCCTCGGAGACCACACCACCCAAACAAACCATCAAATGATCTTAAACAGCTAATTAAATTTAAGGAACCCCTCGCTGCCCCCCAGCTTCGCTAAGCCACCCAAATACCCCGAATATGCAGCAAACAGCCCGGATAAACACCTGCATTGGCCACCCCGACGCAGATCTTCCGCGAATAGCGTCGTGTTACGGTGAGCGGAGTTTACCCGCACCTCCGCATCCGGATAAAAACAGAGCACATCACTGCGATCGATCATCGGCCAAATCCGTGCTCAATGTTTGTAATAAAGAGGGGGGAACATCCCCCGTTACCTTCTCTTCGCATTCGCCATACCGACAGTGCACAATGCGCCTGCCACGCTGCGTCAGCATCATTCTCCTGGGGCTGGAAGCGGCACTCGCCGAGTCCACCCAAAAATGGAGCATTAAGGATTTCAAAACCTTGGTCACCTTCGGTGATAGCTATACGGACGATACGCGAATTAGCTACTTCATCAACCACAATGGGTCTGCACCGCCAGTGGGTTGGGTCGAGCCTATTGTATGTTCCACAGACATCATACAGACTATTCCTACCTCCAAACGCACAGAAACACCCACATCATATATATATACACCGCTAAAAAATACCTCCAGACAAATGAATCCGCCTCTGGCGGCTACATCTGGGGTCACTTCGTGCACCAATATGCCCA